TTGGACAATGTTATTGCGTTTCAAAATCGTCTCTATATTTGATGTGCATTGTAAATTAACGCTTTTATTAGATGTTGTGCTTCTGTGTGCATTTAGTCATATCATGCAGTTTTGTGGTTTTGATCTTTCTGCTGCATGAAATAAAGGCATGCTATTGATCACTTGTTTCTGGTTTGTCTCTTTGGAAATGTCATGGTATGACCTCTTGGCTAACCTAGGCATCAATAGCTAACCTAGGCATCAATAGGTAACCTAGGCATCAATAGCTGACCTAGGCATCAATAGGTAACCTAGGCATCAATAGGTAACCTAGGCATCAATAGCTAACCTAGGCATCAATAGCTAACCTAGGCATCCATAGCTATCCTAGACATCAATAGCTAAACTAGGCATCAATAGCTAACCTAGGCATCCATAGCTAACCTAGGCATCCATAGCTATCCTAGGCATCCATAGCTATCCTAGGCATCAATAGCTAAGCTAGGCATCCATAGCTATCCTAGGCATCAATAGCTAACTTAGGCATCAATAGCTAACCTAGGCATCAATAGCTAACCTAGGCATCATGTTTCACAAAACTGTTGGTTTTGTGACTGGCAGACAGATTGGCTACTTCTGCACCACTTGGTGGTAAGCTAGATGTTATCAGGGTCCTTTGGGAGTGAGTAAACAGTCAAAGTAAGAAAAGGACCATTTTCCACGCCTTCAAGAACACTGAACATATAGAGCTTGACCTATATTGTATGGACCAATCGGCACTTGGGGGGTGATGTGGTCAGCATCATGCCGGGAGTGGACAGTGCAGGGGCACAAACAAATCTTCACAGTCTGAGGAGAACTGAAAGTGACCCAGGGATCTTTTTTTTAAATTTTTTTTTTATCGATCACCGGCTGTGAATTCCAGTGGTTAATCGTCCGCTTGGACTTTTGACTTTCACCTGGACCTGATTTTTGCGTGTACAACTGTTTTTCATTTCCCTGCCTCATGGGCAGCTGTACTCCTCCGACTTCGAAGGAAGACGTCAGGCCTATTTCTAGGTTGACTGTGGCCATTGTTTTGTGTGGGTCGAGACGTTGCCTGATTTGTGTGGTGTCCACTTTGTCTCCTTCTCCGCAGGTATTGCCCTCGGAGTACCCCTTTGGGGCAGCCCCCTGTGGAACAGTTAGCCCTCAAGGGAAGGCAGGGGCAGATCATGGGCATTCCCCGCCATCCAAGGAGGCTTCCATGCATGCAGAGCCGGCACATGGCGCTCTGGTTCTGGGCTCACCCAAGGAATCGTCACGTCCTGCACATGCCTGCTTAACCTCACAACCGTGTCAGGCCTCCCGCTCAACAGGGGCTGCGCCCTCTGGAAGTCAGCGGGGAGCAGCCCGTGGGTTTTGGGCTTTTGTGACCACACAGATAGGTACATTCTTTTTTCTTCGCACGTTAGATTTCTTTGACGAGCCGTTAGCCCGACAGAATTTTACATCCTGCATCAGGCATATCGTTATCAGTTTTGTCCCAACACTCGGGTGAGTGGGGTCTTTGGGTGTGGACATTCGGTCTTTTTCAGTTCAATACAAATTTTGATGGTCAGATTTTGATCCGTATGATCTAGTTTTGTCGGACAATTAGGCTTAGCCATCCGATGGATGGTTGCTGTTGTGGTGTACCTTAGCGCGGTGACGATGACACTGAGGGTTCACCGAGGATGTACATGAATGGCCAGCCTATGGATGGTTGCTGTTGTGGTGTACCTCAGCGCGGTGACGACGACACTGGGAGTTAACCGAGGATGTACAAGGATGGCCAGCCTATGGATGGTTGCTGTTGTGGTGTACCTCAGCGCGGTGACAACGACACTGAGGGTTAACAGAGGATGTGCAGTGAACAATGTTCTCTTTACTCCGCAGTCTTTTAACCAAGGGTTGTAATTTTGGCTGTACGTTTGGCAAACCTACTCATGTTCCTAATGAGTTTTGATAACATTTTTCACCCAAGCGTTTGGGGGCGGGCTGATGAGAGCCACAAGGACACATCACCTCTGGGGGCCGCCGAACTCCAAGATCCCCTGACAGCTCTGTTAATGCTCATTTGAGACATTATCCGTGGCGCACGACGAGGACGTGCTGTAGGGGTCTTGCGTGAGGTTCCGTACAACCAGGATAGTAAAGGACTGGCGCCCGAGTGACGTACGGAGTATCTCCTTATACACATCATGTTGGACTTAACTTCCCCTCACGCCTGTGACATAAATCACCGCGCCACACCCAGGGATCTGACAAGGGAGACATTCTGAAGACCATTTTTGAACAAATGCTGCTGATAGAAGACAGACACAAGTTTAGAGGAAATAACATGTGAGAATGCGTGAACGAATGAGGTGTGGATCCGGCAAGGATGGACATAAAAGAGGAAGAGAACTATGTGTGTATAATCGGTGTGCCACGGGAACAGTTAATATCTACACCTTTAAGAGATTTGCTGCGAGAGACGGAGCATCTTTGTGTATGTCCAGTGTGCTAGGGTGTCAATTCTAAAATCAGTAATCACTCAGGGGAACGGCATTATGGACTCTCACTGGTACCACAGGAACTGGAATTATGCGCTGGCAGCTGAAGATGTGGATGGGGTGCTTATGCAAATGTCCTGAGTGTGTTGATGTCGGTTCTTATCTCAACTCAGCTGTACAGATTTTTGTGTTTTAATGTTCATAAACTAGTGGCAAGTTGATTTATCAGCTGTTCATTTGCTGGTTTCTTTGTGCCAAGTCGAGATGTTCTTAATGAGTGAAAGCTAACATACATTTGAAATAAAATTGCATGTGCTACAGGGAAGTCTTTTGCCTCACCTGAACATCAAAGAGAGCTCTTTCAAAAGCTGAGGCATTTTGGACACGTCAAGCGTGTGGTTCTGGAGATAATAGGGGTGGAGGGAGCAGTTTTTGGAAAACAAGGCAGAGGTTGACCATCATAAATGTGGATACAGAACACTGAAGATGAACTGGCTGTGAAAGCCTACAGGCCTGAAGAACTGGCCAGAGAAAGAGAGACTTTCAGGCATGCACTAAAGAGAACGACAAGCTCACTGACTGACTGAAATGTTTAAACCGGAAGCTACAGTTGAAAAAAAAAAAACTGACACCTTGTCCCTTAACAAGCATGTTATAGCAGTCGACTAATTGGGAATGTTACCATCAAAGTTAGAATGCATCTACCTGAGAGGGGAGGAACCAACAGTCTGCATATAAATAAGTTAGATCTGTAAAATGTATGTGCATGCAAATCTTAGGTTCTGGAACAAGATTTGAGTCCAGAAGTGGATGAACAACCAGAACTTTCTGCTGGAATGTACAGCTAGTCAATGCAAAGAAGAAGGATCCACGCTGTAGCGAACCTATTCACAGAAGACCAACTGGTCTATAAAAACTAGAGTCTGGCATCATATGCCCAAATGTACCAACAGTGTTGGAAAAAAAAATGTCTTAGGCATTCTTTTTAATATGCCCAAACTGGAGCTGCGACAAAGCAAAAACTAGAGCCAGGACAAAGCAAAAACTAGAGCCACGACAAAGCAAAAACTAGAGCCACGACAAAGCGAAAACTAGAGCCACGACAAAACAAAAATTGGAGCTGCAACAATGCCCAAACTGGAGCTGCAACAATGCCCAAACTGGAGCTGCGACAAAGCAAAAACTACAGCCACGACAAAGCAAAAACTGGAGCTGCAACTAGAGACTAGTGGCAGAACATTCTGAAAATTGTCCGTTACTGATTAACCAAAGCCAGATAAATTGTTGGAAAACAGTTCTGCCACTCCCAGGAAATAAAACCTGGATTTGTTTACTTGGCAAGTGAGCACACTAACTACTATGCCATTAGGTCAAAATATCAATCTGATCTAAATGATTAGTTTGATCTAAACATTCCTCCTAAACAAAACTGACAAGTCAGGCACGTGTATAAGAAATAAATAGTTTTATTATACATCAGAAAGAAAATAAATATCAGTGCTACACAACAGAAAGAAAGTAGTGTCCATGGGTAATAGTAGTGTACACAAGTGATAGTAGTGTACATGGGTCATAGTAGTGTACATGGATCATAGTAGTGTACATGAGTCATAGTAGTGTACATGGGTCATAGTAGTGTACATGAGTCATAGTAGTGTACATGGATCATAGTAGTGTACATGGATCATAGTAGTGTACATGGATCATAGTAGTGTACATGGATCATAGTAGTGTACATGGATCATAGTAGTGTACATGAGTCATAGTAGTGTACATGGATCATAGTAGTGTACATGGATCATAGTAGTGTACATGGATCATAGTAGTGTACATGGATCATAGTAGTGTACCTGGGTCATAGTAGTGTACATGGATCATAGTAGTGTACATGGGTCATAGTAGTGTACATGGGTCATAGTAGTGTACATGGATCATAGTAGTGTACATGGATCATAGTAGTGTACATGGATCATAGTAGTGTACATGGATCATAGTAGTGTACATGGATCATAGTAGTGTACATGAGTCATAGTAGTGTACATGGATCATAGTAGTGTACATGGATCATAGTAGTGTACATGGATCATAGTAGTGTACATGGATCATAGTAGTGTACATGGATCATAGTAGTGTACCTGGGTCATAGTAGTGTACCTGGATCATAGTAGTGTACCTGGGTCATAGTAGTGTACATGGGTCATAGTAGTGTACATGGGTCATAGTAGTGTACATGGATCATAGTAGTGTACATGGATCATAGTAGTGTACATGGATCATAGTAGTGTACATGGATCATAGTAGTGTACATGGATCATAGTAGTGTACATGGATCATAGTAGTGTACATGGATCATAGTAGTGTACACGGGTCCAGAATCTCAATATAACCCAGATGTATGAGATTCTCAACACAGCAACACCTTCCACATGTTACACTGAACAAATCAGTGACCCTGTGACAAAATTTCAGCATTTTGCGGCTACCTTTAATCACAATCTCGCCATATCAGCAACTTTTATGTGTCAAATCGTTTGTAGGAAGCTCAACAGTCGAAGTCTTGACAGTTTCATCACTGAAGCCGGAAGCGCTGGTGCTCTGAACAAGTTCTTTCAAACGATTCAGGTGAACAAGTGCCCTAAAGAAAAAAAAAAGATAATCAATAACTTATATTTTAGTCAATAAGTCAAGGAAAGGTCAAGGACCCTTTTCCTGGCTTTCATGTGTATTGGGTATATAGGGCTAGACCTATATTTTATAGACCAAATGGCACTTGATGGGTGATGTGGTCAGCATCACACCAGCCACCTTTACTTCCCAGGACTTTACCTGGTACCCACTCGAGGCAGGGTCGACCAGGGAGCCAAAATCATTTTGGAAAAAAGTCCTCCAGACCATGTCGGGAATGGAACCCACGACTTTCCGATGCGCAAGCGAGCGTCTAGCGGCTAGACCACGCCAGCTTCCATATTTCAGTCAATACTTACATTTATTATGGCTTTGCTTCAGATCAATAATCTGTTATTTCTGGTGTCTTTAATACACATACTGTATTATACTAAAGTCTATTCTTTATTTGGTAACTCCCACTTAACATCAGGAAGCGTTCCCACATCAGACAATCACAAATCTGGATGAACTGCTACACCAGGGCTATTCAACTAGCGGCCCACAGGCCAAATCTGGCCCGCAGAGCCATAGCAAATGGCCTGCGGATCCTTGCCAGTTGTGTTGTATTAATGATCTTTCTATTTACGGGTTACAATCAGACAGTTACTGGTGCCATCGGAATTGGAACTCTTCGCTCGTTGCTGAAGATGGGAATGGAGCACTTATGGGAGTGTCCTGATTGCCTTAATGTCGATTCTTAATTCAACATTCAGCATTCTGAGGCTGAGGCCTGCAGATCATTGCCAAATTTATTGTATTAATGATCTCTCTACGCTGAGGCTTGGGTCTTTGGCCTGTGAGGATCCCCAGCTGCAAAATGTTGGTCCTTGAGTAAACTTAGTTAAACAGCCCGTTTTACAACCACTGTCTTTTTTTTTTAAATTGAAAAGGCACCATTTATTACGTCTTTTCTCTATATTGTCAAAGCATCAATATAGTATTCTACTTTACTGTTGCAAAATGTTTGAGAATGACACTGCAAAAAAAGAAAAAGGTATAAAGCACAAAAAGCTAGCCAAACAAGCAAACCATGAATGTTGCACCACAGCAACACACACACGCATGTGCATGTGTGCGCACATGTGCACACACACACACACCACCCCCCACCCCTCTACTTTCCCCACGTGGCAGTTCCAGGTCTCCCACTCGGTGTGAACAATAACAGACCCACCGCAAACAAGAATGTCATAAAAGGCATCTAATTAGAAGTTGACTGAAATGAGATAGGTTGGGCCTAAATTTACAGATATCACACTCTAGCTGTAAACCACAATAAAATACACCAACTGCCTTTTTAAGGTGAATGCAGAACAAGAAACACTATTTGTGACTGTTTGGACTGTTTTCCAACTACTCCAGGGTTTTCCCTTCTTAATATAAAAGTTGGGATTATCTTTTTCTTCTTCTTCTTCCCATTCACCGGCTGCAAACTCTGGAGAAAAGTTCTGGTTGTTCGTCCATCTTTGAACTTTACTCTTGATTCAGTACTTGAGATTTGCGTGCACATACAGTTTTACAGATCTGGTTTATTTGTAAGCAAACTATTGGTTTCTTGCCTCTCAGGCTGATGCACTCCAACTTTGAAGGAGACTCTTAATTATTCTACTCTTGCGACATTAATGTTAGGGAGTCAGAAGAACTGTTATTTTTATCCCCACAATGGAGCCCAGAACCCACACGGTGAAGTTGGAATTCTGCTTTAAATATTAAAGATGGTAAAAGAGATCATGCAAATTTACTATGAGGCATGATTGCTGTTACAGAAAAATATACATTGAATTTGAAAAAAGGAAACACGTCAGCAAACATGAACACTAATCAGGTAGCCAAAGAAGAATAGTAAACCAACAGGGAACTGGTGTTATCAGTCACCACATGCTGAGGGACACAATGAAGATAGGATTTGAGTGCTTATTGACTTGTCAGATGTTCAATGACGATAATCTGTTGATTTAGATGTGCAATGACGATAATCTGTTGATTAACTAACAGGAAAAAACAATGAGAACTGTGTATCAACAGTGTAGGGAACAGTCTCATAGGAAATCAGTCTTATTACCATGTTCAGAACCAAGCACCACTGAATATATATTCATTATTTTCTACAGACAAGGTGGAAATTTATTATCCACTCCTCTCCTATTCTTCTTTACTTTAGCTCCTTTGCCACAACCGCCTTTACTTCCCAGCACTTCACCTGGCACCCATTTAAAGCCTGGAAGCATAGGCCAAATGAAAAAAAAAAAAGTCCAGCTTCGTTAGGGTTTGAATGCCAACCTTCAGATCCATAGGCAAGCATCTAGCTGCTGCACCACGGTTGCTCCATAACACAGATCATATTTTTACATAAAAGTTAAGGAACTAAATCTCACTTTTCTAGAGACTGACCCCCTGGCTCCCTCTGAAAGTCATAATTCTGTAGAGATGGAATTATGTCCAAATATGGTTTTGAGTTATTTGTTTGACTAGCATTCAAGCCTTCGTGGTTCTGGAAAAAAAATTCAATAAAAAGAATGTCACAAATATTATTGTAAAAAACACACACACACACAAAATGTTCTTCTTTTATTATTGATCAATGCCTGGTGAGACTGACTCAGCTGACAGTAAGAAGAGGGTGTTAGATTATACTCAGCACACAGATGAAAAGATAGCTGGTTGCCATTAGCTGGTATATTAGCACGGAAACTTTTTTTTCTACTGCAAAAATGAGAGCTATTTATTGTATAAGATATTTTTCATTTTCTGAAATGCAGCTTTACCTTGACCTATTCTGCTTTTAATCTCTGTCACACATTTTTCATCTGATGATGTGACGGTTCCCAGATATTTGAGTTTATTGACTTGTTTAAGTCTTTTTCCTTCAATGGAGATATCACAATGTGGTGTTATCTTCTTCTTTGATATAACCATTACTTCCGTTTTCTTAATTTTTAATTATCATGGATATCATCAACAGAGCTGTTCCTGGCAACCAGGGGTCGTGATATGTGAGATGCATGAGAGCGTATGCCAGGTGGCAGGGCACATTATAATAATGACTGCAAAAAAGGTGAAGAAGCCTGTGTGAGAATGTCCTTAGGGCAGTGATGTCATTTTTCATGGTTTTTAAAGTAACCTTCTTCTTTCATTAGCTTGAAATAGATTATCTATATCTGCATGTTGTCTCTTGAACTTCACTGTCTGTTGCAATTCACTGAACGACCTGTAAAGTTTGTCTTGCACCGATGTTTCTCTTGGCTAAAAGTTTTGCCTTGAAATGTTGTACTTTGGACAGTCCTGGAGGACGTGAACTGTTGTCTCAGCTGCCAATCCACATGTACACATGGCTGATTGGCCAATCTTAAATGTTGTGTGTATGTGGCTGTAAAGTCGCTCTGGTCATTTTAAATTTAAAAAATGAATGTTTTCATGTTCGTGTGGAGAAATAATTTACCTCTTAAAGTTTACTGTCTGTTTTACTTAGGACAGTGACAGGCATGGTATTCACTGGCACATAAATGGAGCAATTACCTGGCGATCTGTTTTGGAGCCACGGCTAACAAACATTATGAAAGATAGATAAACTATGTGACAAACAATCAAATATGCAAACAACAGGGAATTCAGAGTGAGAAGCAGCAGTGAAAGTTTTAATCTGTTTAAATCACCATTGATCACTGGCATATTGAGGGCTGATGGACCGAAAATGGCTGGGGCATATTGAGAGAATGTCAGATGACAGAGAGGTTAAATACTGAATACACAAGGGAGCTGAATGTCACAGAAGATGATGGAGAGATAATGTCTAGATAGACCTACAAACACCTGGTGTCACACTAAGTGGAAAGAGAATGCCAACCAGAGAGATAAATGGAACCGGGTGATATCCGTAATATAAATATATAATATTACTTTACGGATTTTTATAAATATGTTACTTCTTGGACAGTTGTAAATGTTATTTTTTTGTACAGATGTAAATATTACTCTAGAAGTATTGTGAACCTTCTCTCCCCTAGACGCAACATAACTGGTATAGTCATCAATTACATTGAAACAGCACTGCTGCAGTGGCCATACCCGACAAGCCTAGCTAATGGCATTGGTTTTGTTTTCATCTCTGCAAAAAGCTCAACAAAATGGGGAAGCAGAAAAAACAGGCACAAATGTTATTTTATTTTCTTCTCTTTTATTTTATTTCACATTATTACTTTATTCTATTTCTTATCAGTCAGTATCATTTATTTTTCATTAACATTTGTATTTCTTTTATTCCCAGTATTATATTATATATTAACAATACTACTGTTTTTTTTGTGTGTGTGTAACTATATTTTTTAGCTATAGTTTTTTTTTTTCATTTATTCCACACCACATTTTTTTAAACGTTGCTCACGTCACCCCTTAGAGATCTACATACTCTCACCTCCTCGTTGTTACGTTTGTGTAGTTCACTTATGTTTGAAAAAGGCTGCCCGGCCGAAACACATGTTGTTTTGTGCCCGTTTTTTCTGCTTCCCTATTTTGTTGAGCTTTTTAGTCAAATTTTTCTGGAATTCCTTGTATTAGCTTGACTGCAGTCACCCCCATATTTTCACCAGTGTTTAGGAGGCTAGACATAATAGTATTTACTAAAAACAGCATCTGGGGGAAGCGGTTTATTGTGAAAAAAGTGGCTACTTGAGTAATTATGACATCATAATAACATCCCTGACTTTAGCCGAACACAGTGACGGGTGTCAAGGTGTGAGTCTTGGTATACATTTTGTGTAGGTCCGAGAGAATCTATCCCATTTTGTTCTGTGTTTCGTTCACATTTATTCTTTAATGCCCTTCATACACTTATACCCCCCCAAAAAAAAGCATATAAATAAATCTTGAAAACAAAATTATTAGAGGCCTGCTGCTGTTTAAAAAAAAAAAAAAAAGAAATATTTTCAGGAACTCCTACGTTCATACTCCCACCTCCTTTCCCAGGGTTTCAGGGTGAAAAGGTATGTTACTTCATTTTAATGCTCATACAGCTTCCTTGCTTATTTTCATTATGCTATCCAATGCTGTTCCTAGTATGTTACTGCGGGAGTCCAAGGAAAACCAAAAAAAAAACTGAATTTTACTTTATGAATACTCAATTGTAAATATGTCAATATATGTAGAATGACATTTTATTTTATGGATTCCCATTTGTATTTATATTTAATTATGTTTATATATGTATATTTAATTGCAAACATTATATTATGTGCAAACAGTATGAACATTTAACGCAAAAACTACTGGTGCAGTAATCACTGTATATTAGATATTTATTTAATTGTGATTGTAGTATGCACCTGATGAGATACAGTGAAAATATGTCTGGCAATAAATCGTGCAATCTATTGTTTGTGTCTTCTTTATTCGAGTATATTAGATAGTTTAGAAAAGTGACGGCATTATAAAAATGTTGATACTGAAATGTTTATTTAGAACAGCAAAACATTTTTACCTTATTATTCTCCTTGTGTGTGCTACTCTCCTCAGCTTGAAGTTTAAATAACATGTTTTTCAAAGTCTCCATACTGCCAGGTTGTTTTCTGCCAGACAGGGTTCTCTGGCGATTTGTATGAAAGTTGGTCATAAAAATTACAGAAGGTGAATTAAAATTACACAAATCTTTAAAAATAACAGAAACATAGGTGAATAATGAACTACATCAAAGAAACCTGAATTCAAACTGATACTTCCCTGTATGGGATACCGGGCCCCATTGTGGGGAAAACAGGAATAGACCCGCTGTCTTCCCAGAAGCATGTCATTAGGGTCAACTAACCATGAGCTTCCTTTGAAGTCAGAGAGCTTTTGCCTGATAGGCTAGGAACAAAAAATCTGCATTAAACATACGTAAAGCGGATGTGCACGCAACACTCAGGTTTTGGAACAGAACTAGAGTCAAAAAGAAGACAAACAACCGCAATTTTCCACCAGAGTTTACAGGAGTGAACGTGAAAAAGAGGTAGAAACTGGTAATAGATGAGAAATAGGTGCTACAGTACCTCATGCAAAGTCACTTGCTGTTTGCACCTTTCTGTTTGTCCAGAGGACAAGCATGGGAATCTCAGCTTACGGTGGTTCAAGTCTGACTAGTAACAACCACAGCCAAAAGGGCAATACTAAGTATTACCTGTACAACATGATTCCTCATTTGGTCTGCTTGTTTATTTCAAAGGAAAGTTACAGAAGCTGCTGGATAGGAGAGCAGTACTCTGTCCACCTGTCGGAGTTTCCTCCACAGACCAGTTGTCAACCATGGTTGAGGGCCTCGTCCGCCCTGCCATAACATTAAATTTCCAGGCTGCATTTCGACTTCCTAGGATATGGCTACAGAGCAGGATGTCAGGTTTGGCATACACTGCAAGTTCTTTTTAAGCTTTTCTGTAATTTACGGGATCTTACAGCAAAGATTTTCAGCTAGGTGAGATAGCAAGTCTTCTGCAACCATACCGTGCAGTCTCTTACAGCATCCATTAGAGGTGACTGCGATACTGTTCTCGGCTTCTCTTTGGGGACCAATAATACTGCCTGGCACTTTACATCTTTCCAGATGAAAGTGCTACATTTGCTATAGGGACGCATGAGAATCACAGCCCATGGTGGTATAACAGGCATGTAAATACATCTTTATCTTCCCAACCATGCCAAACTACTGAGGTTCTTTGCTGCAAATATCACTTCCCTCCATTTATCTCTGTTTTTGGCATAAGTAAACACATGGCATTGAAAAATATGATACCTGTTCTGAGAATGTCCCATTCCCAGGAGCTACATCATCTGCTTCAACTGGCACCGGGGGTTTGCTGTGAAAAAAAAAAAAAATCTGACCTGTATGTGGCAAGCTTTATCAGGCAACGTGACACTGGGTATGTCCTTGTGTGGATTCCTGGACCAATTTTGTGGGGGGGGGGGGGGGGGGGAACAAGAATAAACTTACTGTCCCCTAAAAGCACTGTCATAAAAGTCAACTAATGAGGTGTGTTCCTTCACAATCAGAGTATATCTGCTTGAGAGGTGAGGAACCAACAGTCTGCATAAAAATCAATCAGATGTGTAAAATGGATGTGCATGCAAAACTCAAGCTCTGGAACAAGACCAAAGTCAAGAAGTGGACGAACAACCAGAACGTTTGGCTAAATTTAACAGCCAGCGAACGCTGAGCAGAAGAAAACATTAGGTAGATAATGCCATCAAAAATAGCCAAAAGTGTTTCGGATAGTGTAAGAACCTGAACCTGATAACATTATCAAAGAAAATTCTGAATGCCGTACCAAATAACAACTATACGTGACACCGCACCGAAAAAAATTAATTTCTTTAAACAATCGCTATTATTAAATTAAATGCAGAAACTGGATGTGTTGGACACAAAAATTAAAGTCTAGCTGTAAACCACAATAAAACATGCCAACTATCCGGTGTTGGTGAGTGCAGAAGAAGAAGATACTGAAGTATATTCATTCCTCATTTTCATTAATCAGCAGATCCTTTTTAGACTGTTGCTCTCGTCACGGCACACCTGAAAGTCTCTTTCTCTAGCCCATTCCCTAGCCCATTCTCTAGCCCTATGTGTTTTCAATGTCTTGTATCCACCATCATGGAAGTCTGTGTATATTCCCTAGGAAAGCCTTCAAAACTCAGGTTCAAGAACAAGACTAAAGTACAGAAGTGGATGACCAACCAAAACTTCCCACTGCAGATGGAGTTTTTCTCTCAATCTAAAAACAAAAGTACACATTTTACAGGGACAATGTTGCAGCTCTCCTTTATTTCTCAATGTTCAAAAACCTGTGGGCTCTGCAAGATGGCTAACTCTAATTCACATCTGGGGAGACATGTCAAGATGTAACCAGTTCATGACTGAGAACACTATTTACCAGTGTTTCCTAAACTTTTCTTAGTTGCGGCGCCTTTTTTCAATTACATTTTTTTCCAACGGCGCCCTAGCCTAATTAAAAGTATGACTATTCATATGTAAAAGATAAAAAAAAGAATAAAACTTGTGTATCTTCAAATATTTCGCAGCGCCCCTGTGAAGAGGTCGCGGCTCCTCAGGGCACACAGTGTGGGAATCACTGCTATATACAGAGGCTGCAATCCAACCTAGGATAGTAATCGTCCCTTCATGTCAGGATTCAGATAATCACAGTTTTAACTTCACAACAAACGGGTTGCCCATAGTTAATCCGTTTGTCTGCCCTAAAAAACTACACAGAATGCCCATTACTGTCCTATTTCAAACAACTGACACAGACTGCGTTCTTAGCAAATCCAATAACATACACACGCATGAAATATATAACACAGCAGGGACCCAAAACCCAGTGCAAACAGACACTAGAAATGCAATTCATAGACAATGGATCAGTAGTTCTTTTTCTTCTTCACCTTCTAAACCCCTCTTCCCAGTGGAACATAGGCCCTCAACCAGCTCAAGCCAAGTCATTCTATCTGTCCCTGTTGTATGCAGCTCACCCCGTGTCCTCTCCACGGATCTTGTATAACTTCACTCTCTGGCTCCCTTCTCCATGTTTTTTTTTGGGGTCTGCCTTTATTTCAATGCCCCTGTGGGTTCCAGTGTGAAGACATTCTAGTTATATTGTTCCCATGTTTTCTCAGCATATGTCCGATTTAACGCTAGCATCTTTTCTTCACCTCTTTGCCCACTGGAACTTATTTAGTTCTCTTCCAAAGCTCTACATAAGTGATTTAATCATATCATTTAATTCCTTCTATTCCATGCAGGCACCAGTTAATGAATGTTTGTAGTTTATTAGTAATTATTTTAGTTGTTCCTCATGTTTTAGCTCTATCCAACAGTATCGATTTGACATTAGAATTAAAGATTTTAAGTTTAATAACAGTTTTCATATCTTTTGACCTCCACAAATTTCCTAGTGCAGTGAAAGCTCCTCTTGCCTTTTGTATTTGTATTTCAATATCTCTGTCAGCTCCCCCATCTGTAGTTGCACACGCAAATAATTATATAAGGTACTACAAGGCCATCACCATTTTCTGAATCTGCAGTTGATAATACAAACCACATTAAGCACAGTCATAAAGCATTGTAAATGAAATCTACAGTATCATGCACTCAACTCAGTAGCTGAGTGACAAAACTATATCCTTTTAGTCTAAATACAGAGAAGAATACAACAGCTTACCATTGTCAGAGACAAAAACTTGACATGAATAAAAACTGTAAACCTGCCTCTCCACCATACGGACTGGAAGACTTCATGTGTTGTAGTCATGTCGTTGTCCACATACTCACACCAAATGTCCAGAAAGTACAGAGACAAAGCTAAGTCTGCAGTGACAAGCACACCTGTGAGAACAAAGCTAAGTCTGCAGTGACAAGCACACCTGTGAGAACAAAGCTAAGTCTGCAGTGACAAGCACACCTGTGAGAACAAAGCTAAGTCTGCAGTGACAAGCACACCTGTGAGAACAAAGCTAAGTCTGCAGTGACAAGCACACCTGTGAGAAACTTACAAAGTGACAGCCAGTTTTTCCCAAGGCCTGTCTCCATCAAGCCCGTCTGAGGTTAGGTCCAGGCCAGCACTTCCTGGACTAGCATTTCCCTTCTCGTGTTCGCTGGCAGGGACCAGAGACCAGGTGGAATAACTCTGGCCAACTGGAGATATAAAAAACATGATCTCCACAACAAGTGACACACACAGTTCAATATGTTATGCTATGTCAAGTTATCTTCCATGTGTCACTGGGAACCATAGGCCTTTCTTCTTCTTCTTCCACATTCACCTGTAATAGGGTGGCTGGTCCACCGTATTGTGGATTACAGCTGAGCTGCGATATCTACACGTTTCAGCCAAACACATCTGATTTCAGCAAAATCCCAATTAACTGCCTTTCACGATATGCTTGTGGGGGAGGGGGGCAGCAGTGGGTCGATTCTTAATTAACCCAAAATGGGGCCCCAGAACCCACATAAGGATGAGTAGCAGTGATTAGAGAAATATTAAGTCTCTCATGAAACTTACCCGCAGGCGGGAGCATACCTAAGGTATTTGTCACCTACGGCTAAACCGGCCCCCTCCTCCCAAAAAAAGGGCCGAAACACTTTTGCAATTTGCCTTAGCCACTGCTCAATTTTGGGGTTACTGTTACAGATTTTGTAGTGGATAGTTTAATCTCTTTGCAATAAAAATTCAAAAGGTGGATCTTTTTAAAATGTAATTTATGTCAGCGGTGCTAATCAGGCATGAGTGTTTATATTCTGGTACGATGTCAGCTTTCTAACGTTCTTCAACAAAATGAAACTCAGTGTGGTCCCTCCAGATGAGAAGCTGCCATTAAAAACAAAATGGTTGTTTTGGCGCGCCCTCTTCTGCCTAGGGCATCTGCTCTACCTGCCTCACCCTAGGCATGTCGCTGCCTGCAGCCTACCAACCAGTCTACAAAAGAACTAAATACAACATAAAATGTGAGTAGAAAGCTCAAGAGAGCGAATGGAAAAAGCACAGATATAATCAAATGTTTCGACCAAGGTCTTTATCAACGAAGTACAAAATTCAACACAAACTGTGACTGGAAAGCTCAACGGACAAGATAATAGAGCTTGTAAGAAACCAAAGTCAACAGGAAACCAAGAAATACCTAATGGGGGGTAAAATATCTTGTAAATTGTTTGACTGCAGACACACCCATTCATAAATCTACAAAATGCTTCAGTAAGTTGGTTAAAAGAAAAAATTATAGTTATATTGTTCTCAGATTTTCTCAAGGCATGTCCTATCCAAAACCAGCGTCTTTTCTTCACCTCTTGGTCCACTGGAACTTGGTTCTCTCCCAAAGTTCTACATTAGTGATTCTATTATACCATTTAATTCCCTCTGTTCTGCGCAGGCAAGAGTTAATGAATGTCTGTAGTTTATTAGTAATTATTTCAATTGTTCTTCATGTTGCCGCTCCATACAACAGTACTGATTTGACATTAGAATTAAAAATGTTCACTTAGTATTAATTTTAATTTCCTTTGACCTCCACAAAGTTCCTAGTGCAATGAAAACTCCTCTTGCCTTTTGTATTTGTATTATATTATTTCTTTCAGTTCCCCTATCTTTATCTACATTATGTCTGCCCAAACAGGCGTTTGACAACACATATCTTTGAGTGGGATACCATTAATGAAACCAAATTGCATAATAATTCATAATACTTGATAAACAACAACACTTCACTTCTACCAGTGATATATACATCCTTCAAATATTAGAAACAAAAAATCATAACAAGTCCCAATATGGGAGACAATTTTTCGTTATTTCAAGGCCACACCCTGGCTGTAATCAGGAGACCTAATATAACTTAATGGTTGAACAGGGTTTTTGGGTCTTGTGCACGGGTGATCCTCATCTGAATGGTGGCACTTTGTGTCATAGGGTGTTGGTCGCTCGCTGTATTGTCTTGGTGTGGTTAATTCACATACATACATAAAAAACAAGCAGTGAGAAACCAAGATATGGAACAACCACAGTTTATCAACAAGTCTGACCTGCTGGAATACCTTCAGGCATCAAGCTGGCTGTTGCAGCATCTTTCCGTGACAAGGGTTTCCCAGTGAGCAGGGACAGTGTGTCCAAACTAGAGCACTGCGCCTCACTGCTAGCAACAGATGAGTCTGACCTCAGTGTTTTCTGCCTGAGAGTTTCTGCTGAGGCCACAAAATTTTCTATAGATCTCTTCAACCTTGCAGTCTGTGGCAGGATGTCTCTATGCAAGACTGCTTCTCCATTGTACTCACTATCAAAAGTCCTGCTACCCAGCACTGGCATCACAGGGCTGGTAAATGCTGAAGCAAGACTCTCTCTAATTGGCGAAGAATGCCTGATCCTATGTTTCTCTATGGAATAGTCTTCCTTGCCAGTACCATTGAAGAAAGTTGAAAGTTTATTATTGCTAGAAGAGTGTATGGCACTAAGACCAAGATCTGACAAGTTACAACCAGCTATTAAACCACTGTTACTACTCAAGTCATCATCTTTGATAGAATGAGAATTAGTTGTGCCTGTTTTGGTTCTAACTGACACATTGTCAGGATTGGCTGGGTCACTGTATGTTTTTGTTTCTTTACTGCTTTTCTGGACAGAGTCTGATTCCCAAAATGAGTCAGTAACTTCTGAGGGACTTAATTCTTGAACCCAGCTTGGAATGGACTTCCTCACAGACTGATCCTGCCATGCTGTTGACTGTTGCCATAATCCTGAGCTAGGTAAGTGATTTGTGGCATCTCTCAGCTCAGGTGATGGTAAGTGATTTGTGGCATCTCTCAGCTCAGGTGATGGTGAGTGACTTGTGGCATTTCTCAGCTCAGGTGATGGTGAGTGATTTGTGGCATTTATCAGCTCAGGTGATGGTGAGTGACTTGTGGCATTTCTCAGCTCAGGTGATGGTGAGTGATTTGTGGCATTTCTCAGCTCAGGGGATGGTGAGTAATTTGTGGCATTTCTCAGCTCAGGTGATGGTGAGTGCCTTGCGGCATTTCTGGGCTCAGGTGATGGTGAGTGATTTGTGGCATTTCTCAGCCCAGGTGATGGTGAGTGATTTATGGCATTTCTCAGCCCAGGTGATGGAGAGTGATTTGTGGCACTTATCAGCTCAGGTGATGGTGAGTGATTTGTGGCACTTCTCAGTCCAGGGGACAGGGATCGAGTGCGCAGATTTCTGAGAACACCTGTGGGGTCTGAGTGGTAAGAAATAGAAGCAGAACTGGAGCTAAAGGAATGCTTTTGTTTAGGAGGAAGTCTGTGGGATGCAGGCAGCAGATTATCTGTTGAAGAGCATCTCCTCAGTTCTCCTGACTGAAGAGGTACTGGAAGAGGATGAACTGACTTCACAGATGAAAGATTCTGAGTTTTTCTATGTCGGGAGCTATGATATGAATATACATGACCTGGTGGTCTTTTCTCTGCTTCCTGGCTGCCTAAAAGAGCCAGTGAGTCATACCCTGGGAATTTTCTTTCAACGGAATAAGATCTTGTGGATGGAATGTCTTCTTTAGTAACCTTCTCAAGGAGTTTTGCAGACCTCAGGAGCGCAACTTCAACTGAAAAATTAGGAACTTTATTGAACTCTATCCTTAAAATATGTAATACATATATGTGATCCCTATTTTAACATCTAGAGAGATTAACATTACATGCAAGAAATGTTAAATGTTAACACTTCTTCTTGTTTATAGTCCATACGTTGTGGCATTGGTTGTCATGTCTCTATCCACAACCTACTGTCTTGTGGACTTTCAATTAGTTCTTCTTCTTCTTCTTCACGTTCACCAGCTGTAAACTGGCGAAAAGTTCTGTTTGTTCATCCACTTCTGGACTGCAGTATTTTTCCAGAACCTGAGTGTTGTGTGTGCATCTGTTTTACAGATCTGACTCATTTGTATGCAGACTGCTGGTTCCTTGCCTCTCAGGCAGATGCACTCCGACTTCAAAGGAAGCTCCCAATTAGTTGACTTTTACAACACACTTTTGGTTAGGCAGTGGGTCTATTCTTGTTTTCCCAAATTAGGGCCCTGGAACCCATACAGGGAACAGTCAGTTCTGACACAGAGCATCTTCCATGCCATGCTGTCAATCTGTCCAGCATTAGCTCCTTCCTCTGTCTTCCTCTGACTCTTTTCATTCCAGTTTTCCCACTGTTTTCTTCTTCTAATGACATGACCAAAGAATGTAGATTGTCTCCCCTGATCAGGGCAATCAGTTCTCTTCATGATCCAGTTACTTTCAAGACATTTCATTAACCTGTTGTTTTTTTATTTAAAAATTCTTTTCAGGGTATTTTCATCATTTGTCAATACAGCCACATCCCTGCCACTTTCAACATTTTTTTCACAAATCTTTCAGCTAGTAACACTCACACTGGCTCTATGGTATTGAAGCTTGGTCAACAAACAAGCAATTGAAATTGAAAAGCCTACAGATGTCAGTACAGAGAAGAATATGTAACATTTGTTGATAAAACAGGAGGAAGAATAGTTTAAAAGGTTAAAGAAGAATAACAAAATCGAAGAGTGGTCTTGAGGTATGGTGTCCGCATCGAGTGCTGGAGGTCCTGGGTTCAAGCTCCGGTGAAGGCTGGGATATTTTTATGTGGACTTCTAGAAATTTCCCCCTGGTATCTGGTTAGTGAAATTAGATGCCCATGTGTATTGTTGTGCACGTAAAAAAATCGCTTGGCAGTTGGAAATTGAAAAGAGTAGCCTAACGGCGCTGCCCGGGCATAATTTTGAGTTAAAAATCTACATATGAATTCCAGGATCCTTGCCGGTGCAACGGGGTTCGTGCACTGCACTGAAATCCTTCAGGCCCAGGCTTGAATTAAAAGTAGAATGGAGCACTTATATGTAACTCATGTGTGCCATGATACTGATTCCTCAAGTAAACAAACAAACGAAGAAGAAAAAAGTTAAAAGAGATGAAAATTAAAAAGTAAACCCCCCCCCCCACCCCCCCAAAAAAATAATAAACACTTACAGGTGCTGTCAAATTTACAAACATTGCTAGACCAAAACCACCTACCTTCATGCTGTAGTTCAGTTTTGGTGTGGTTGGAAAACTCTGGCGCTGCTAGTTTTAGGCCACGTTGCAATCTAACTTCCCTGACAGCCTCAGTTACTTCTGCTTGCAACTGAGGTCACATGGTTGACAAATATAACCAATTATTGTCAAATATAACATAATCGGATGGACCACAAAATACTAGAACACAATAAATTATTTGGTCCAAATTATTTGTCTTTCTCATTTGATTTGGATTAATTATCTTCAACACTAAGAAAACACTGTAGGGTAAAACATGGTATAACTAAACTCATAAAACACAGTAGGGTAAAACATGGTATCACTAAACTCATAAAACACAGTAGGCTAAAACATGGTATAACTAAACTTGTAAAACACTGTAGGGTAAAACATGGTATCACTAAACTCATAAAACACAGTAGGGTAAAACATGGTATAACTAAACTCATAAAACACAGTAGGCTAAAACATGGTATAACTAAACTCATAAAACACTGTAGGCTAAAACATGGTATAACTAAACTCATAAAACACAGTAGGCTTAAACATGGTATCACTAAACTCATAAAACACAGTAGGCTAAAACATGGTATCACTAAACTCATAAAACACAGTAGGGTAAAACATGGTATCACTAAACTCATAAAACACAGTAGGGTAAAACATGGTATCACTAAACTCATAAAACACAGTAGGCTAAAACATGGTATCACTAAACTCATAAAACACAGTAGGGTAAAACATGGTATAACTAAACTCATAAAACACAGTAGGGTAAAACATGGTATCACTAAACTCATAAAACACTGTAGGCTTAAACATGGTATCACTAAACTCATAAAACACAGTAGGCTAAAACATGGTATAACTAAACTCATAAAACACAGTAGGGTAAAACATGGTATCACTAAACTCATAAAACACTGTAGGCTTAAACATGGTATCACTAAACTCATAAAACACAGTAGGCTAAAACATGGTATAACTAAACTCATAAAACACAGTAGGGTAAAACATGGTATCACTAAACTCATAAAACACTGTAGGCTTAAACATGGTATCACTAAACTCATAAAACACAGTAGGGTAAAACATGGTATCACTAAACTCATAAAACACAGTAGGGTAAAACATGGTATAACTAAACTTGTAAAACACTGTAGGGTAAAACATGGTATAACTAAACTCATAAAACACAGTAGGGTAAAACATGGTATCACTAAACTCATAAAACACAGTAGGGTAAAACATGGTATCACTAAACTCATAAAACACAGTAGGGTAAAACACGGTATAACTAAACTCATAAAACACAGTAGGGTAAAACATGGTATAACTAAACTCATAAAACACAGTAGGGTAAAACATGGTATCACTAAACTCATAAAACACAGTAGGGTAAAACATGGTATAACTAAACTCATAAAACACAGTAGGGTAAAACATGGTATAACTAAACTCATAAAACACAGTAGGGTAAAACATGGTATCACTAAACTCATAAAACACAGTAGGGTAAAACATGGTATAACTAAACTCATAAAACACAGTAGGGTAAAACATGGTATCACTAAACTCATAAAACACAGTAGGGTAAAACATGGTATAACTAAACTCATAAAACACAGTAGGCTAAAACATGGTATCACTAAACTCATAAAACACAGTAGGCTAAAACATGGTATCACTAAACTCATAAAACACAGTAGGGTAAAACATGGTATAACTAAACTCATAAAACACAGTAGGCTAAAACATGGTATCACTAAACTCATAAAACACAGTAGGCTAAAACATGGTATCACTAAACTCATAAAACACAGTAGGCTAAAACATGGTATCACTAAACTCATAAAACACAGTAGGCTAAAACATGGTATAACTAAACTCATAAAACACAGTAGGGTAAAACATGGTATAACCAAACTCATAAAACACAGTAGGCTAAAACATGGTATCACTAAACTCATAAAACACAGTAGGGTAAAACATGGTATAACTAAGCTTATAAAACACAGTAGGCAAAAAACATGGTATAACTAAACTCATAAAACAGGCTAAAAGATTGTATAACTAAACTCATAAAACAGGCTAAAACATGGTATAACTAAACTCATAAAACACAGTATAACTAAACTCATAAAACACAGTAGGGTAAAACATGGTATAACTAAACTTGTAAAACACTGTAGGGTAAAACATGGTATAACTAAACTTGTAAAACACTGTAGGGTAAAACATGGTATAACTAAACTTGTAAAACACTGTAGGGTAAAACATGGTATAACTAAACTTGTAAAACACTGTAGGGTAAAACATGGTATAACTAAACTCATAAAACACAGTAGGGTAAAACATGGTATAACTAAACTCATAAAACACAGTAGGCTAAAACATGGTATAACTAAACTCATAAAACACTGTAGGCTAAAACATGGTATAACTAAACTTGTAAAACACAGTAGGGTAAAACATGGTATCACTAAACTCATAAAACACAGTATAACTAAACTCACAAAACACAGTAGGCTAAAACATGGTATAACTAAACTTGTAAAACACAGTAGGGTAAAACATGGTATCACTAAACTCATAAAACACAGTAGGCTAAAAACATGGTATAACTAAACTCATAAAACTGTACATAGTTACCAGAAACTTTGTCATAGCACTGAAAATATTTATAAAGTGCATTTATCTCTCTGAATATATTAAAAGTCATTAAATGTTGAATAAAAAAAAATTACATTGTCATGCCTTGAGGAAGACTGGAAAAATGATGCTATCTCCATTCAGTATTTGTATATCATTGGTGGGTGTATAATACCATCTTTTCCTTGACATACGACCTATATGATTTATGACCATTCCCACCCATGACCAAACAAAACAAAAAATAGTAAACAAAGAAAAAAACTACATTGGTTAGTTTAAAAAAAAAATCGGAACTGATGCAATAAAATACACATTATGTATTTTTCACATTATGTACAATCATTCTAGGTACATCGACTGATTTCTTTTAAAGTACAATTTTGATAACTTATCTGAATGAAAACAGTGCTGAAGAATATAATTTCAACTTATGATCTTTTTTCAAAAAATGGAACTCAGTCATAAGTTTAGGAAACCTTGAACTCGGGGTCTGTATTTCCTAGTGCTCATTTTAAGCTGAGTCAACTTAGAGGCACAGAACAAGTTTTTTTTTAAAAATCCTTGCAGTGGGCACAATGCGAATACATATCCACTGAGCCCATGGGTAAGCATGCTAGCCACTGAGTTACCATGGCTGTCTATTACTCTAGTGCTGACTAAACTATGACAACTCTGAAACTTACCTTTGATGTTAATAAATCCTCCACATCTTCTGCAACTCTAGTGACATCAGCACCACCCAGAGACTTGACATCCTCCACATCTTCTGCAACTCTAGTGATATTGGCACCACCCAGAGACTGGACATCATCCAGATATTTGGATGAAATCGGATCTGCAACAGCCAGATGCTGATCTAGCAGACGTGATTCCCTCCTTTTATTTCCAGACAAAAGAAGATCACTTGGAGAATCCTGTCGCCTCACCCGGACCTCTCTCCCCATGGCAACATCATACTGATGCAGGTAGACCAGGAGAGCATCTGAAGCAGACTGGAAACTGCTGCCCCCAACGTTGATCTGATCCTTGCTGCATCTAATTCTGCTCTTGGGCAGGGGCAGGCATACACCACTGAAGCTGGAGATGAGCGAGCTTGTCCGGGAACAATTGTCCACAAAGCTCATGATGATGGTGTTGAGGCTATGTATTTTATGAATACATATCTAGACTGTTCACCTCAAATACAAGAATACTTGCCATATTCCACCTCCAGAGTAAATTTATTTTCCTTGATCCATCAAAAACAACAAATTATTGCATGAAAGTCACATTAAAAGAATGTGTCTCAGTTACCCTAGTTGTTTATATTCTGAAGTCTTGCTGCATTCGAGACCTGTTTAAAAAAAGGCAAAAAAAAAAACCATAAATTTTTAAACTTAAAACCTAATATATAAATAAAATCAGGCAATATGTAATGATAAAAATATATTTGTTTACTTCATGACACTAAACAGATCAGTAATGGCAACTGGGGGAAATGTTATAATAAATTATAACATGGCAATCATTATTTGTCAGCCATTTTATGAGAAGAGAATGACATCAAGACACTCTGACAATTGACAAGATGATAGATGTTGGCAGTTCACTTATGTCAAAGCTGAGGTACTCTGACTGTTGACAAGATGATAGATGTTGGCAGTTCACTTATGTCAAAGCTGAGGTACTCTGACTGTTGACAAGACAGTAGATGTTGGCAGTTCATTAGTGTCACATCTGAGGTATTCTGACAAAAAACAAGATGATAGAAGTTGGCAGTTTATCAATGTTACACCTAAGGTAATCTGACAATTGACAAATCAACAGATGTTGGGAGTTCCCTAATGTCACAGCTGAGGTACTTTGACAATGACAAGACAATAGATGATGGCAATATATTAATGTCACAAATGTACTGATGTCAACTCTTCAGCTTCTTCTTCTGCACTACATCCTCTAGTGGAGCACAAATACTCAACCAACTCAGGCCAAGTCATTCTATCCTTTGCATGAAGCTCACCCCCATGTCCGAACCTATCTCTTTTAACTTCCCTCCCTAGCTCCCTTCTCCATGTGTTTTGGTGTGTGTGTGGGTATGCCTTTAATTCTATGTCCCTTAAGTCCCTGTGTAAAGACATTCTTGTTATATTCTTCTCAGGTTTTCTTGACATGTCTTATCTACATCCAGCATCTTTTCCTCACCTCTTGATTCACTGGGCTTTACTTAGTTCTCTCCCAGAACTCCACATTAGTGATTCTATCAGTCCACTATTAGTCGGGGACTCACTTGACCGTTAGACATTCAGTTAGGCGACCTACATGTTAACTTGTACGTGTAGCGTTGTTCTATGCACTTACGTACTTTTGAACATCAATGCTGAACGTGTCAGGTAAGAGGATAGAATGGAAGTGATGATCAGGTGGTTTTCCAATTTCGGAGGCACAAAGAATTTCAAGAGGTGGGGGGGGGGGGGGGGGGGGGGGGGGGGGGGGGGGGGGGGGGGGGTGGGGGGGGGGGGGTGGGGGGGGGGGGGGGGGGGGGGGGGGGGGGGGGTCATACTTTTATACTGTAAAGATTTTTTCCAGTTTAATGATACATACAATTTAATAGTCACATAAACAAAACAGCTTTTGTCAATTTGATGCGGAGATCCCTCTCCGCTGTGCCTTGTCCAACATCAGAAAATAGCAAATATTTTCAAGACAAAACAGTGTCAACCCTCACTCTGATTTTTGTCACTAAATTACCAGTTCTTGGTGTTTTTTTCTTTTATGTTATTTGACACTTTGGTTTATGTGGATGTTCTCCAAGTTCTTTTTAATAGTGCTTGGGATCCCCCCCCCCCCCCCCAATAAATGAATTTTGTTTAAAGGGGGTTGGGGGAGAAGGTGTCTTGCTATTTATTCAAGGGAAAACTGGGTTCTATATTTATAACGTACCCCAAACATGGGAAATCCGTAGGATTCCACAGCTGACCTGACAGTCCATTATTTCAAGGGGTGCAAGTCAAGTGTGCTGCTGCATGCTGCTGTTGTTGAGTGTTCATCTAGTATCTTATGGTGTGACATATTTCTGTCTGTTTGTGCACAGTCGGCTGCTTGTTGAAGCGCAATTGGCTGGTCTACAATACTAGTCATGTTTTTAGAACATGTCAACATGTGAGTGTATAGCGTATTTGGTATCACATCCGCCTCATAAATAAAAGATGCCGCGTTCAATCTCTACGTGATGCTTTTCATCCATTGTGAAAAATTTTTTTTTTTTTTTTACATGAAATGTAAATTGTGTATGTGTGTGTGTGTTTGTTGTTGTCACAACGTGTTGTTTTTTTTCACTACACGTAAAATGTGCACTTTGGCTATGTGAACTCTATGTGCAATCGCAGGAAATGCCAATTGGGGTACTGTGGGGGGCCCTAAAAAGGGCCAATCATTCTAGATGTATACTGCTGGGTTTATGCACGAATTGACAATACCCACTATTGTGGAAACACACATCCAACATGATTTTTACGACTTGCAAAGAGACTTTCATCGATTTCTACAGTGGTGTTGTCTCCGCCGATCACTGCAGGATTCAGTAACAATGTATTGGCACAAACCTCCAGTAAGTAGTAGCTCCATTCCACGGTCGAATTCGGCGACATGCTCAGCTCTACTTGGCAAAATTGAACGCTAGTCATCCCGTGAGACCAGCAGTATATAAATAGAATGATCTGTCTATACGGGAGCCGCCACCCTTTCAGCCATGTTCCTTGCCGTAGTGGTATGTGCAGATGACAAGTTGACTTTCTACAGCGCCAACGGTCGTGTCTTTCAGACAGCGATAGCAGCATCTGATGGTTGTTTCTGCAACTTCTGGTTCTGTGCAGAATGCCATGCTGTTGCAGGAAGGCAACGCTGCTTTCTTTGTCTTGTACAGATGTAACTAGTTGTAGAAAATTCCTCGTGACTGCTGCTGGAACCATCGGCAAACAAAAATGGATGGAAACCAGTGTTGCCACTTTTCTTTGACAAGAAATATCCAAAACGGTGTCAACAAATATCTAAAAAGATCTAAATCTGTGTGGGAAAAGATCTAGACAAAACATCCAAATTGAAAAAGTCAAAAATTACATAGCTTTTGTTATGACTTACCCTACATAATTATGTCCTCACCTTCACTGATGTCTGCCTCACAAGATCCACAGGATAAACTTAGCTTGGATAATGAAGTTAAAGCTTCAGATCCAAAATGACCCTGGTATGCTTAAGCTGTTCAAATTTCTTTATAAGTGGAACAGTAGGCTTATTTCTCTAGTCTCATCAGGCCGAATTTTAATGGCACAATAGCATTTAAGAGGTCAAATTTCATCCTGTTTTTCAGGTTATATTTGATATAATTTCTAGCACTGAAAACTCTTTCAACGTCAGCATTTGAGTGGGGTAGTATCATGGTAGACATGGCACTTTAAAGAGCTTACAGAATGGACTTGTTGTGGCATCTTTAAATTGTCTCACTTCACTCCAAAACGCTTTAGTTTCTGTTTTGTTTGTCCATTCAGCTAACTTTATTTTGGTTAACTGATATTCTGCTTCCGCGACACTATTATCAGTAGCCCCTAAAAATTTCATAACTTTACAATATTTAGGTATGTCCTTAATTGGCTGAAGTATGTTGCTCACAGAAAAAAGTGAAATATTTTTCAGAACATCTAGATTTTCAGGAAGTCTCTGCTTCGATTGCTTCAATAATGAGATAAGGAAATCTTGACAGTGTTCTCTTAAGTTGTTCTCTTCATTCTCTGTTAACAGTCCTTTTGTTTTTAAATCATCAATTTTTGATACGATTTAATATCCAAGGTGTGGCTTAGGAGCCAAATAGCTCTCTATAGTGCAAGTGATCAAATCAGCTTTAGAAGTTGGCAACACCAGTCTTTTACCGAGTGAAATAGCAAGGTGAGATCATCAAGGAATTTAACTTTATCAACATGTTTAGATTCGAACAGTTTATTAACTTGTTTGCGCTTCCATTAGAATAGGTTATAAAAAGAGAATGAATGACAAATTTTTTTTTATCACTGTACATTCCATATAGTATTTCAGCTGTGTAGCACTTTTCACTTTGTCTTGCTATTTCAAAGTGTGTCTTCAACTTCAGCCATTGCTTCATAATTCTTTCAACAGCTGGTTAAATTGACAACCATCTAGTTTTGCAATCTGACAGAATTTTCGGTGGTGTGGAACCATCATTCAAGGCTGTATATAATGAATTGAATTGCTGTTGTCTGACAAATGATTTGGAAAACCAGTAGAGTGTTTCAGCAATAAGGTATTCCAAATTCCTTGGTAAATATTTAGATGAAGCATGAGATAATGCTAGCTGCAATGAATGACGCATACATTTTATAAGTATTAACGATGGGTTAGCTTCCTTCAACTTGGCATAAACCCATTGTTTATACCAACCATCACTGAGGCATTATCAGTACCATTTACAGCCAAATTCTTCAAGCATAACTGTTTGCTGATTAAAAGGTCCTTCAGTTCATAAACTATAATTTCTACATCACACTTTTCAAATTGAACTAGTCCAAGATTTTTTACAAATCGATCAAATGGTCACAGTTTGAAATTGCGCAGTGACAAATTAAAAACATTGCGACTGATACTTCAACTTTTGATGATTCATTTATCAGTATAGTTCTGAAAACAGATGTCAGCTATGTAATGTCTTTAAATGAAACTGCAGTTTTATGCTTTTTTAGTCTCTGCATGACTCTTTGAGTTTTGTATTTTCGCTTTAATTTCACACTAACAGAACTTACAACAAGCTTTGGTCATATCCCCGGTTTTTAATTTTGTCATCATGCACCCACTCTTTCCAAATTTTTTGCTCATACTTTACTTTTGGCATGTTGAAAGGTTTTTCAAAGTGAAAGCCACATAAAAAGGTGAGCAATTATTTTTTTAAAACACATGAAAAAGAAACGCAAAGTCAGCACAGTGAGGATACGGTTAAAACAAAGTTAGTATGATTTACGCGCGTTTTTATTAATCAGTACCTGGGCTGCTAGATATTTGTGCGTTGACCCCAGTGAGAGTTCAAAGTTCAAGTAATGGCAGTTGTCACAATGTACGTGCCAGACCAAAACAAAAATATTGT